TCTTAAGGATGGAGGATAAATGAGGGAAAAATATCTCTAAGAATAATAAATTCTTTTATTTTCCAGGGATGGTTTTGAAATATCTCCAAAGGAAGAAAGAAGCATGGACAAGATATCTTCTCAGAATCCTTACACCCCCAGGAATTCATATTCGTTCCTCCCGGACACCTGGAGGGGCTGTGGCTTCATTTTTCTCCTCCAGAGAGGTATGGGATAGAGTGAGTCCCATCGAGGCACAGGACCAGAGTAACGAGGCTTGCATCCTACAGGTCACCTGGCCCACCTCCTTCATTTTACTCCTGCAGTCCTCTCCTCCCCACATTATGGGACTCCCCACGAGTCTTGGACACAAGCAGACTTGTCCCACATTGCTCAGTGACAGAGCTTTGTCTTGTCTCCTGAATGTTTCTGATAATGATCAACCTAATGATGGATTGTATTTGTATGGTGGCGTACACTTTGCAAAGTGCTTTCACACCCACTCTGTCATTTAATCAAAAAAAGTGTGTGTGTGTGTGTGTGTGTGTGTGTGTGTGTCGTACCCCATGTGCCTCATTTAGAAAGGACTGACAATAGGAGACTCTTGCAATTTCCCTCAAGTCTCACCCCAGCCCCGGTACTTCCTAGACTTCTGTCCTCTCTGTCATTGAAAAAATAGTCTTATTCCATAAATATTTGGATAAAAAATATACACATCCCTAAAAAATCTTCTGCCTGCTTCTGTCTGGAACCTCACCTCTTGGTTGCAATGAGAACGGTTTCTTTAGCCTCAGCTTGCTTTCTTGGGGACTCAGGAGGGTGGAGATGGTGAGACCCCAGGAATGAACTGACAGAGAGGGGGTTTCTCATCTTGGGTCTGTAACTCATTCTTTCTTTGGGCCCTTATGAGACACACTAACCTCTCTTGGCTCCCCTATATAATCCTGTCCATTCCTTCTTAAAACCATGCAGAAAGGTCCCAGAGTTCAGTGAAGAGACCCTTAACTCTTCTGCAAAGTGTGCACACACAGCTAACTCCCCTTGATGGTCCTTCTGGAGGGTGGGGCACAGTTGGTGACTTTGCCTCATGGGTAGGCAGTTGAAGCGGAGAAGACGGACAACAGGAGGGGACGACTGACAAAGCCCTGTCCCACCCCTCGCTCACTTCTAGCCCCCCCTTTCCTCCCCTGGGCGCCCCTCATAGAGTCCTTCCTTCCTAGATCTCTGAGCAGGACAAGTGTGCCAAGACATGTGCTTCACTGTCGTCTGGGTCTGCAATCCCCACCCCCGCTGCACCAATGACAACCCAGTCTGCAGATTGCAGGGAGCCGGGGCTGCTGCATTGGTGAGGATGATTTGGGATGAGAGAAGAGATGGAGAAGTTCTCCCTGAGGCCAGATTCTCACCCTCCACAGTTCACCAAAGGGAGCAAGTGGACCCCAGCCCTTTCCCTCTCTTCTTTAACAAATAGTTTTTGCACCAGGCAGGACTTCCGCCTCTTGGATGAGAACAACCCACCAGCAGGGGCTTGGCTCCCCTCCAGCCCCTTTTGCTGGTGCCACCCTCCATAATTTTGTCATCTCCCTGGTGCTGCCACTCTCTTGTGTCCCCTGTCCCTGGTTCCCTATGTTGGTCCCCATCTTTGGGGTAAAAAGTCACTAGAAAGACCCAGGTTCAGTTCTATCATTTGCTGGCAAAATCAGCTAACCAGCCTCAATTTTCTCATCTGCAAAGTGGGCTGGTAACATCTACCTTCCTGAGTTGTTTTAAGGGCCAAATATATTAAAGTGTTTGAACGTGCTCCTCCAGACACGAGTTTGACTCCTGTAAGAAGCTGTGTGATCCTGAGCAAGTCAGTTTCTCATTCTGAGCCACAATTTCCTCACTGATAAAAACGGGGATTGTAAGAATTAAATCACATGATGCGTGTAAAGTCGGCTACATGTGCGTGGGTGTGGGAGGGAGGCCCCATGAATGTAACTGGCCGTTCCCTCCTTCCTCCCAAGCCCACGGTATTTGTCCTCCCCTGTGTTGAAGGCCACGCTGTGACCAGTCAAAAGTCTTTAGGTTAGCTGCAGGGGTGCTTGAGGGTGGTCAGTTACAGAGCTGGGGGCTTTTGAAATGTGGGTAAGGCTATATTCTTACCAATCGTTCAACTGAGAACAGAAAAAAATGTTGTCAGCCTCAAGAATGAAGGAAAAGTGAAAACAGATAGGGAGATAAAAGGAAGGATAGAAAGCTGGTAGATCAGAAATCTAGAAACAGCTTGGCTGCAGTCTTCTGGGGAGTGTGGAAATGGCACTGGCCAGGGGATCAGGAACTTTCTCTGGTCCCTAGTGCTGTCACAAACACTCTGTCCTCTGTCCCTCCATGTCTTGGCTTCCTCACAGGCAGAAGGAAAGAGAAGGATGAACTGCCTTGTCTCTGCCAACCAGGAGGTCTGCGTCTGGACCAGGGGACACTCTCCTTTGCAGTCCTGGCAAGTGTGGATGGGGAAATTCACTTCCCTTTCCCAGCTCCTACCTTGTGCCCATTGGGGATTTCACACTACACAGAGGGTGCTCTCAGGGAGCTGGGGATTTTTAGGTCACCTTTGTTTGTAGTTCCTTTAAAACCCAGGGACAAACCATCCCTTAATTCATGCACTGCTGGGAAGGGGAGTCTGCCTTTTAAAAATCCAAAGGAAGCCATTAAACCAAGTTGGTAACTACTGTGACTCATAAAAAGGTTTCCTCGGTAAAAAATGAGTCAGAACGACTTTCCAGGAAGTTTGGTTACTTTAATTAGCTACCTCTTTTTTCTTACCCTTAAAAACATGCAGTAATTTGATGATCATGTAAGGGTGGATGCTACCAGCCACCAAGCTGAGCCCCTAGAAGTGCAGGATCGGAGGGTAGAGGCATTCCAGACAGCATGGACTCAAGTGTCTCCTTGGAATCAAGGAGGAACTGCACAAAATGCTTCCCTGAATGGCGCAAGGAGTATAACCAACCTCTGGGGCTGACCCACCTGGTTCGAGAAGGGCACCCCAGCTACCTGCAGCCCCCAAACACTTAGCAGCAAGGCTCACTGTGTATATTACAGAATCACAGAATTTTAATGATGCCGTTAGATGTAATGATGGCCACAGCTGTCATATGCCAACCATGGTGCTAAGGGCTTTAAACATCTCAGTTAACTCTCAACTGACTCTCTAAGATGGACATTAATTGTCCTCTTTAGAAGAGACGAGGCTAAATTAACATATCAGATCACATGACCAGTAAGCGCAGAGCTGTGATTTTTACCCCAGGTCTGTTTGATTCTAAATCCATGCTCTTCAAAGGTCATCTTTTCCTGTCCCCTAGGAAAGCAGAATGGCTGGTCTGAGGTCACATTTTGAATTGGCAGTAACTGGGTTGACAGCCGTATTCTGAAAGTCAAGTTTATGTCCAGATTCTCTCTCCTTCAGCCTAGTCTGTGCAGAGCTCCCCCAGTCCCAGATAGGAGGCCAGGACTTGATGAAATTGTTCGTAACACTTTAACCTTCCTAATCCTCACCCAGGACCTGAACCTCCTCCCTAGCCTGGCTCACTTTTCAAGGTTTTACGTAGCTCCTTTGCACTCCCAGCACAGTTACCGACTCGGTCCCGTAACTAACAGCAGGGCACCCGTGCTAGTCTGCTAAGTGTGGTCTTCCTTCCACGTGGACACTCTCTACCCGGGGCAGTATATCTGGCCCAGGTGAAAAGTGTTGGCTCCAGCCCGCCTGCTACCTGCCGGGAAGAGGTGACCTGACTTCTCCTGAATCATACCTTCTGGTCCTTCTCTAGAGAAGAGTGTCAGAGCAGAGCTATGCCTGTTACTTTTCAGGTGAGCTGATCTGAAAGCCTTGATCGAATTCTAGAGACTAAAGGGAGTTTTCTTCTCAGTTGGGGAAAACAGATGCCCCACTCCATAGACCTTCAGTGAAACACACTCAGCTAATAAATCAGTTGACAAATGGTTGCAACTGGCCCACCTTCTCCTAGCTGTCCCCATACAAAGCAAAATATAAAATCTGTAGCTCAACCTGTGCAAACAGACACTGTTTCAATACTAAATTGGGGGGCAGAAAAGTTTTTGGTAAATGCACCCTGCAGATGCCTCCACAAGACCCCCAGTTATCTTGTCCCTGATCCCGAGTCTTTTAGCTTCAAGAGTGGAACTAGACTGCACCTGAAGGCTTGGGAAAAGATTTTAGCTCTGGGGGACATCGATTCTCTTCCACTTCTAATTTCTACGCCTCTAATGGTCCAGATGAAAGACTAATTGAAGTCTTGTTGGGATGCTATTAAAGTTATTTGGTGGTGTTACAATTTATGCTCATCTTTCTTTAAGTTCTTTTTAATTATATGGAGCTTTCAAAGTAAGGCTTGGACTATGGAGTTAAAAGCAGAGAGCTATGAAACTCTCTTCTCAATTTTTTTTTTCTATCCTCTTTCTCTTATTCACAAAGCAAAGTCATCACCAGGCACCGAGCCTTCCTTTCTGGGTCTATTTACCACCCACATGCATGTAATTTGGAAGAGGAACACTTGTACAGGGGGCCTCTTTGGTTAGTTCCTTGGGTAGGACTATTGAGAAATCTCTGGTCAAAAGGCCTTAGTCCCCATCTACTAATGACGGGTTCTGCCTTCTGCCGGTCTGTCAGTCAGTTGCAGCTGGGAACACAGCCTGCTGCTTCTAGGGGTGATGGAATGACATATCAAGAAGTGAATCTCCTCCCTAACTTCTTTCTTTTTAAGGGTCTGGCCCTTTCCTAGCCTAGTTCCAGAGGTTTTGTTCCACTGTAGACTAAGGTCTACTGTTTGAAGGCTCCAGGATCCCATCCCCTGTCTCTAGGGAATCCCTTTATGTCTTACGTCTTAGCCTTAAAGACCCAGTGGGTCTGACTGACTGAAAGGCCAACCCAAAAGAGCTACCACACTATTTGACGAATCCCAGGAACTCTCTCCTACCCTGATTTTTCTGTCTCATTCCACAGAAGAGAAGACCCTTACCTGTCTCCACCTGGCTGAGAGCACTTCGAGCATCTGTGGAATCTGCTACATCCCCACTCATCTTGATATCTGCAGGGAAAACACAACTAATTTTAATAACAGGTCACAATTCTTCTTGCTATGACATATGTGGCTTTAACTAAACAGAGAAGATGAATGTGTAATTACAACAACCATCAGACTTTCAAATTCCTGATTCCTGAACATACAACCATTAGAATATTCATAAGCTTGGTGCACATATCCCCTCCTCCCAGGCTGGCCTCCTTTCTCCCTTTCTCTAGGGCTACTGCAGGGTCTCCCCCCTTTGCATCATTCATCGCGACTTCCTTCTCACCAGGCTCAGTAGGTAAAAATTTAACAAGGGGAGGGGTACAAAGAGGGTGGGGGATGGGGGGAGAATGCTTCTCAGTCTCCATTCTCATTTCCTTTGGGATTTGGAATGTATGTTATTTTTTTTTAAAGCAGCAATAGAAATGTCCATCTCCTGTCTCCCGTTGTAATAACTCTACCCTGGGAGGGAAGAGTACCCTTGAATCAAGGCTTGCCCTTCTCATCTTTCTTCCCCAATCCTGCCTCTGTTTTCTGTCTGTCTCAGAGATCAGCCCACTGCCTGCGGACTGCTCTAGCTCCTGTGTGGCCTCCTTGGAGATCCTGTCCTTTGGGGACCCTTACCTTCTCTCCTTCTCCTTCAATGTTCTCAGGGAGAAAGGGATGGTGGGCGGGTCAGTGCCCCGCAGAGAGAGAAGACCGACACAAGGCCCCCTGTCTCAGCCCCCAAGTGCTGCCAGTCCGGCCTCTCTGCCCTGCTTCGTTTCAATAAATTAAACATTTACCCACAACAGACAGCAGCCACCACCTAAGAGGCCCCTAAGTCTCCTCCAGTGTCAGCAGAGAGAAGCAAAGAGGCAACTTTGAACTAACTCACTCTGTCGGCTCCTCTCCTTATTAAACCACCCAAATACTGAAGCCGTTAAAGACGAAGAATATTTTATTCAAATTGTGTTGACCGCCCCCCCACCCCCACCCCCACCCTCTTCTCTGGGGCAGCATGTTAACCCTTTCAGACCAGATAAAGTCTTGGTGAGCCAATTTGCATACCCGGCTCCCCAGCCAATCCTGGGTAAGCAGGCAGTCTTAATTTGCATCAGGTAATCAGGCAGTTGGCAGTCTGGACGCCTGATGTCTGGAGATGATCAGGATGAGGGAGAAGGGTGGACCTCCGCCCCAGAAAAAGCGGGAAGAAACCTCCCCCCCCCTTTTTTTAAGGGCAAAAATGTGTGTGGCTCTGGCAGAGATTTAAACTGGGACCCCTGGGGGTGTAGTGATTGCAATGCAGGAGGGGTGGCTGCCATGCCAAACAAGACAGAGACGATGGGGAGTCCACAGATTCTCCAGCCCTTGGAACACCCCAGAAGCAGTGGAAGGAGTAAGCAACCTTGGGAGCCACTGTAATTTGAGGAATATTTTTGAGACTGGACAAAGTGATGACTTTCAGGCAAATACATGGCGCTCCATAGAACCCTCCCCAGACATCCACACCGTCCTGTCCTGCGTGGTTACAGACCTCTAGGGGAAACCCTGCAACCACACCCACCACCCCTCCCACTGTACTGCATTTGGGAAGGCATTTCTTGAGCTTAACCGAAGTCCTTCCTGCTGCAGTTTGAAACTTTCTGTACAGTCTGTCATGCATAAATATGCAGAATAACTAGTGGGGGCCACCTGGGCACATCTGCAAAGGGCTTCTACAGCTGCTTGGCTGCCGCTCCCATGGGGAAATGGGCTTCGCTTCATCCCACCCATGAAGTCTTACCCTGGAGCTGGGCATCGCCTATTACAGATCAGCTCAACCACATTTCCCCATAGGGATTCTTCAACAGTGCTGATTAAAAATCAGAGGGTGCCTGACGGGAGGGAGCAGGAGAGGGGCGAGTTCTCACCCTTGGCGGGTTTTTTAAACCTGCTTCACTAGTGCCAGGAATTCAGTTCATGGGTTTTGACAGCAGACAGACCTGGATTTAATCCCAGTGCCATCAAAACTAGCAGGGGCACCCTGGCCACATATGTGAACCTCAATTTTCTCAGCTAGAAAAATGGAGAGAAAGATATTTACTTCCCAGGGTTATTGTGAGGAACAAATGAGATGCCTGGCACAGTTCCTGGCGCAAAGGAAGCACGTGATAAATGAATTAACTAAAGAGATACTTAAGCTTCCTTGGTAGTCCCTTCCTCCCATTTCAATAAACAGCTTTGGTTTCCCGTCTCACACTGTTGTAATTTGTCCTTTATGGGAAGCCATCTGCATTCTCCAAATTCTGGTTTCATCGGAAAAATGCTCATGGGGACAGGAAGAGTTTAAGAAGGGGCAAGGCTGGGATGATGATCAGGTATTCTGAACCAATTCATTTCAAACTCTTCATGTTTAAGAAGGATAACGCTTTACCTAAAGCATAATTTTATGCCTCTAAACCACTCTCCTCCAGTCCCCATTCTGTGCACCACCCTTAATCCACCCAAAAGCCGTCTCACTGATCCTTTACGTTAGCATAAAGGTAGTCCTAATCATATCTAAAAAATAACTTTTGAAGGTTGAAGGTCCCACACTCTTCCAGGACATCTACTCTTTTGATGTACCCATTATGGGATCAACATTGTGGCACTTCAGGGTTGGATGGTGATTTGAGTCTGAATGGTGAGGCAGGCTAAGATGAACTGTAAAGGCTCTTGGTAAGTCCCATAGGATGCTAAGATACTGAGAACCTGTCCTGTTGGGTAGGAGGCTGAGGCTGATGGGTGGGACGTGCTCTTGGGTCTCAGCCTAAAAATGGGCCAACACCGAAACTCCCTGAGACGCCATAACCCTTCACCTGTCGGACAGCAGTTGCCGCGGGTGAGAGAGGTGCGGGGTGGGGCCAGGCTTCTCTGCTGTTCTTATCTCTGCCGGTGACTGAGTCGGCTCCTTGCCATCACTCCCTCCCCTGAGGAGGCTCAGTTGCTCTGTGTAAGAACCCTGATACCAGACACACAGCCCCTCATTTGCCTCATGGGGGTCACCACACGCTGAAGCTGGGGCGAGATGTTGGCCGCTGGCCTTGCTCTCCCCGTGCCTTGGCATGACCCAGGAGTGGCCCCTCCTTGCACATCTGTGGCCCAGGATGTGTGCAAGGCTGCAGGAGCAAAGTCCAAGAGACAGCACCTTCCCCAGGCTGCAGACGGACAGGGCACAGCGTCTCCACCTCCTGGGCCCAGGCTGTGCCGGAAAGCAGAGCCCTCTCTGCTCTCTCCTACTGTCCATCTCCATCTCTCTGGAAGGGATTGGAGCTCCCTCCTGACTTCTCCCTCCCACACTCCCTGCTGGGGGCACTTCCACCAGAGGGAAAGCAAGGGGCTCACCAGTCCTACTTCTGAGCTAGCCATGCTCCAACTCTCCCCTGGGGGAGACGCCTCTTCAAGAGAACTGCATCTCCTCTCGCAGTGAGACTTTCCACCCCAGTGCTATTCCTGAGCTGTGATGGGTATCATTCTGGGAGACCTGATCCTTCTTCCCCAGCCCTGATGGGGAACAGCTCACAGTGAGGAAACGAGCACAAAAAGAAATGACTTCAGACTAACCAGGTGCCCCCTCTGGCTGGCTCCCCACTGTTTTGTCTCTTCTCACCCTCCTGAGCTCTCTGACTCTTGGCTAACCCCCCGCCTATTCTGGGCCTGGGAGGGGAGGAGCCCCTCCTGGGCTGGGGTGCCCCTGTGTCTGGTGACCCCGCACCTGCTCAGGTGTTTGTGCTCCCTCCTCAACAAAATACAAAGTGTTGAGGCCCCACGGCCGGCACCCAGGTTATCAGAGGGAAAAGATGGGCTGATTCAGGAGCAGCAGTGCTCATGGAACTGTCCGATGGGGG